GCCACGGCCGTGGGGTGAGGGGTTGGGGGGGGGGGGGGGCCCGACGTGGGGGCCTGGATCAACCCCACAGGGGAAGTGGGTGCACACAGGGCTAAGGGTTCAGGAATTTGGCAGCAGTCACTGTATTAATGGCCTCTATTCCCCTGCTGCCAAATTTCCAGACCTGTGGGGAACCCCATGGGCTGGATGAGATGGCTCCAAACAACCACAGAGTGGAAAATGAGCAGTCAAGCAAAGACCCTAGAGAAGAATATCATAGTCCTACTCAACTCAAAATTCTAATACCAAGAGATGAATTGTACCACTGTAAATTAGCATTAAGCCAAACTCCACCTTCTATGATTTTTATTGCGATCTTTAAGAATGAGTGTGCCAAGTTTCCTCAGCTCTAGATATCACAGAACAGACTGAACACCAAATAATACATTTTCTTCTTCTATGTCAGTAATGAAATTAAACTGATATAATCACTAGGAATCTGGTACATTTCAAGTTATCCTGCCAATTTTGTTTTTTAACTGCTTTTACAAACACATTTTTCTAAATTGTTGCAAATCTCAGATATGAGGAAGTCAGCAAAATACTTCAGACTACTGTGATTTCAAAGTGGAGGGTACCTTACTCCTGGTTAACTGATATCAAGTATTTAAAAATAAAATTAAAAAAAAATTCTTAGGTAAGATAGCCTTTATTGATCCCAGCCATTTTGAGTTGAATAATATATAAAAAATGGAAATAGGATTACTATTTGTGAATATTTGCATTTTAGTAGAGATGAACCAGACAGAACAACATTTAAGTGTATGGTAATCTGAGGGAACTGGGATCTAAACTGTCAGAAACACTGGAAACAAAGACAAAGAATGAGAGGAATAGGAACTATAGTGCTTGCAATACAGCTCACAGTGATTAGTTCAAAGATTGCAGAAAAGGGGTATTTTTGACAGTGATTACATGAGCTATTTGTTCTATGTATTCCACAAAAAATTCATTAATTCAGAATTAAGACTACAAGAATTATATTCCTTAAGGAAATTGTTCTATCTTTAATAAACCCCCCCCAACAAAATACCTTTATGTGCTGTCCCTACAAGATGTGCTTTAAACAAACCCAAAACATTCTCTTTTAAGATTCTACATGTGCATGTCCAGTTATGTGTATATGGATGATCCTAATGCTTGTTCATTCTCTCATGTAACCATGGATTTTGTTACAACATAATCCATCTGTCATATAGATTCACTTTCACTAGTGCTCACAGATCAATTAAAATATGATTTTATTATGAAAAGTTATTTACCAGTTAAAAGCTGCATACTAATAAGTGTAGAGGCTAACCTTTTAATTTTTTTTAAAAAAGGCACACATTGAGACATTTGGGGCCTAAGATTATTTTTATCACTAGCTGCAAGTTACTTATTTCTAGGCCTGTGTGAAGTGCAAAGTATTCGCTTTGGATTCAGCAATTTGGAGAGAGAGAGATTTGACTCAGCAATGTGAATCACTGCCCTGATTCAATTCAGCCGAACCCGAAGATATTCAGCAACAGACTACACAGACAGGCAGTGCAAGCAGGAGCAGCTGGAGGAGCAGCCGACTGAGGCTGAATCTCCTCTGAATTGAATTGGCTACCAAAGCTGTGCACAGCCCTACTTATTTCCCCATGGAGTTTCTACAAGTTATAAAATGTTTTAAGAAAGTAATTTAAAAATACCTTGATTGAGAAGGAGGAAGTGCTACAGCTAATGACTGAGCAGCTGATTCACTGGGCATCCTCTGGACCTTAGTGTCTGCTGTCAGAGCCACACCTTGAAGAGAGAACGTGCATCAAAAGGCCAGATACATCTGCTGAAAAAGGCTACTAATGTTTGTTTCTAAACTTGTATAACAGAACAATTTGGTTAGAAAATCCTTGTCATTCCCTCTTTGTGACATGTTTCTGTAACTAGATGTTCAAATGATTTCTTTTTCTATACTAAACTGACAACTTGTTTGTCTTAGGCCCCCTCTACGTGTTAGTATTTGCACATTTAACTAACTGGTTAATTGCGCAATTAACTTAGACCAGCTACACCATGCAAAGCACCTATCATACTACTAAAAGCTCCAAACAGATATAAAGATAGACCTCAAAAGTGTGTACTATCTTTATAGCTGGTTGCTATCAAGCTTTAATTTGCAAATGTAGAAAGGAATAAATTGAGTGATAGCAATCTGCCAGTTCTTTGGCATCACAGGTACATTGCTCCATCTCTAGTGTAAACTTCTCTGAAAAAGAACAAGGAGGAAACCCCTGCCCAAAACAATTCTGAGCACTAGGTTCATTCCCCTTACCCAACAGCACCCAGGAGAAATAACACCCTCTCTGCACCCCCTACACAAACACAGACCAGATGAGCAGGGACAGCCCTGCCAGGCTGGAGCATCCTGAGCAGAAGTAAACACAGGGTGGAGGGGTAGGAGAAATCACCCCCCACTTCCCTGCACAAACCCAGCCCAGCCCAGACTCCAGGGCAGCAGAGGTCCCCCCACCCAAACTTCCCCCAAGGGGCAGGGACATCCTGCTGGGCTGTAGCAGAGCCTGAGCCTCCTAGACATCCTAGGGGATGACTCCTTAATATCTTCAGTGATGCTGTTGTACAGAGAGTGCTCCCTGACCTGGCCAGCAGCAGCATGCAAGTTGCTATTCCTTTTACATTTTCATCACACACGGAAGGCTCTGCCACAGATGAAATAATGACTAGAGCCACCCTTAGACTATATAGTTTAATGATGAAATCAATCACTTGAAGTTCTACTAGAAATACTAAAAATCCCTATTTTCTAAAATATGATTTGAAAAATAAAAACACAAAGGGTTTAGAACCTGCAGCTTTGAATCAATCAAAACCCCTGTTCGAGTCAAGATAGGTGAAGCCTCCTTTATTCTACTTTGGGTAACTTTAAGTTAGAATGGCCGTCTATTCACTTTTTAAAATCTTTTTTCTTTAAATCCTCCTGAGAAATACTTCATTAGCACACAAAGCATCTTTATGAACAATTCACAGATTAAACTAAAATTACCAAGAAAGTTGCATTACTGGCATTAAGTCTGACTTCTTTCCTTTTTGTTGGTTTTAGCTTTCTTGTTTTTAATTTGTATCTAAAGAGTGTTCCTTTTTATGAAAAAAATTTACTTACCAGGCCCAGGCGGATATGGATGCGTCCCTGTTATCATATATTCAACTTCTTGTCCTAGAAAGTAACAGATGTTTTATTATTTTACATTTATATAGAGCAATAATTAAGTGACAAATTACAAAAAAAAAAAATCAATGTAAGACAGCATTTGAAGAAAGTGCAGTCATGCCAAAGTTGTAACACTATATTAGCATTACAGTACTTGAGTACTGTTCATTTGTTCTCAGTGTTTTCTAGAATTGATCAGAAAAACTCCATCTATGAACCAGTGATGCCACTGCTCACTACCAAAAGACTTGCCTTCATGAATACTCTAGTCTACCACAAGGTAACTAAAGAGTAAATTTTCATATAACCAAGGATTTATTATAAAAGTTGGTTGGAGGAAGAGTATTTCATTACTCAGCAAATTCATGATCCTTACACATACAACACATACATGTATTTTATAGATTAAAAACTAATGATCTGATTCAAACAACTTGATTAGTATGTGACAGTATGAATTAAAAAAGGAAGCATGAGCTCTTTTCCATTTCTCAAGAAATTGATACCAGTCTCTCACCACTCATCACTCCCAGAAGATTTTCAAAGAACATCTTTTAAAAGAAAATCTCAACTAGAATATGAAAATATTAGGCATTCTTGAGACATATTGGACAGTATCAAATAGGAAATTTAAATACCCCAAGAATTATGTTGTGGCCTTAAAGGGGCCTTACTTGAAAGGGAACAGACATCATAACACAAAGTTATCCAACTATTACTTTATTTTTACCTACACACTTAAAGGGAGTTTGAAATTGTTTCACAACACTTTTAGCAAACACTCTGCATGTTAAACTATCAATAACATTTGTACTACACCAAAGTAGGCTGTTTACTCTCTTTGCTACCATTGTGAACAACATGTTATGGCACTTCCTTTTTATGCAGTACCAAAACTTACAGTCTATATTGACAAAGACTTCCCTTGTTCTGAATCACTTGCATTCTAAAAAGACAAGCTTGTTACACACAGGACAATAAAAATAGATAGTTTTCCTTCTAAACCTCTTTCTAAACTAGAATTATCATAGAATTATCTTGTAAAATTATCATAGCAATTCTAAGATTTAATTTCATATCACAAGACAATATTCAAATATACAAGCAAAGGCAAACTAACCTTGATTTGCAGAATACTGTTTATGTCCATAAGGATCCACCACACCCTGGGAACCCTTCTCTCTCAAATTTTCCTTCAGCATAGGCATGTGCAACACAGAACCATACTCTGTGTGAAGCTTAACTGACATCTTTACCTTGTGACTGGTTGAGAGAACAACATTTATTAATACTTGATCTTCTGAACAACTGCAAATTTTAAAATGCTTTGGAAATCATTTTGAATCATGTCAGTTCTACTGCTTTCTTTCACCACCACTAGATGGTAGTTCTGCTTGAACATACACATTCTGACTTGGATAAAACAAAGCAACTACTTGTATACACTAACATTTTAAGACACAGCGACAGGCTAGTGACAGCTATATTTACCTTTCTTCATCCAATGATATAGGTTTTGCATTATCAGCCACAAACATATCATGGGTCCTCTTCAAGGATCTGAACACAAGAGTGTGCACAGAATGTTTCTGTACGTCCTACAAGAAGCCATAACAAAATTTAAAGAAGAATCAAAAACAGCAATATAAATTAAATAAGGCAGTAATTTATCTCCTTAATAATTAAAAACAAAACAAAACAGACACTACTGAATTTGTAAAAGAGTACACTGCCATCCTTAGAAGCTGGAAGCTACAGATTTGGCCTGATAAACTGTTTCACTGCCCCCTCACTTAAAATAACACTCCTTTCCTTGGGATATTCTCATGATCAAGAAGGGCAGGCCAAAACTTTGACCAACTGTTTCCCATTCCAATCACTGAGGTAAAAACAAACTGAAGATAAAAGCTTGTCCTTCACACTTACTGGTTCCATGTTTATACATGGACAATAAAACAAATGGTTCAGGCGCATCAATGGTGCAGGCTTATTCATCTGATTGCAACCACAGAGCAAACAAGCGGAAAAGAAAGATCATTTAAGAAACACCACACAAATGATGGCACCTGTGTGCATGTCTCTTAGCAGGAAACAGCATGTTCTTGTGGATTCCAAAACCTGCAGGCCTTGTTTTATCAATATAATTGCTTTGCTTTGCTTTTTCTTAAAGTGCAAAAGCACCATTCAAGAACTAACAAAATTAACAATACCAAAGTCACAGAATCAGAGAAAATTAGGGTTGGAAAAGACCTCAGCAGGTCTGCACTCCTAGTTGGACTGGATCTGATAAAGATTTTCTTGGCCAATTCCAATGGCCGATTATCAATCAATACCAATCCAATAGCTGATTTAAAGGAATGCAGCCGGGCACGGTGGGCATCAGCAGCACTGGGAGGAGTGGCTACAGGGAATTTTTGGAGTAGCTGTAGCCCACCCTGTAGCCACCCCTCCCAGGACTACTACCCACTTCGCCCCCTCCTGCCCTGAGTGCAGCCCAAGCTCCCTGCCAAGAAGAGGACAGCCCCTGACCCCGCAGCAGGCAGCCTGCCCTAGCCCCACGCACAAATCTGAAGGTGCATGTAGTAATCCCTAAAAAAGCTGCCCGCATTTACCGCCCTGGCTGGGCAGTGCCCTCTGCCCTTGCCCCACTCCTTCCCTCACTGTGGGGACCTTAACCTGGCCCCCCCCCCCACACCACATCCCATTACCCTTCCTCCCACCCCTTCCTCCCCACAGACATACCAGCCAGATGCTGCTCTCCAAGCTGCCAGGCTGCACTCCTGGTCACATGCATGCTGTGTCTGCCTGCATGCATACGGCATTTATCGGTGACATTATCAGCTACACTGGCCAAAAAAAGGCCAATTACTGATAATGTTAATTTTCCTTTTGTTAGTGCTGATCTGATATGCAACCAATATTGGTACACCTCTACATCCAACCCCCTGCTCAAAGCAGAACCATCCCCAATGAGATCACCCCACTCAAGGCTTTGTCTAGCCGGGTCTTTTAAAACCCTGAAGGATGGAGATTCCACCACCTCTCTGGGTAAGCTGTTCCAGCGCTTTACTACCCTCCTAGTGAAAAAGTTTTTCCAAATATCTAAGCTTCTTAACATCTCTTGCCACAGCTGAAGACCACATCTGATATCCAGATTTACATGTCTCCCCCAAGGTCCCTCTATTAGCCTGGAACACTGACCAGATGCCAAGTTTACCTCCTGCCAGGGAGGGGAACGCCCCTTGCACAGCACCATTATAGGGGCCCTCCTCTGCTCGGCAAAGTTCTTTAGATATGACATATTTTATTCGACAAACTAAGATAAATATACACAATAAGAGTATATAATATATAACAAGAGATATCACATGCACTCAAAAAACCTTGCCTGCCTACGTCCTTAGAGCAACACAGTTACAACCAAAAACCTAACTTCTATGCTAGCGCATTTGCCAAAAGCCCTACATGGGAAGTGCTGGTTATGATGTCAACAGGACATGCAACAAGGCCACCTGGCCCAGTCCTCTGGGTGTGGTGACCTCTGGATGGGGCCTGCAGCCCATCTCCCTTCTGCTTTACTGGCCAGGGAGGTGGGCATTTATTTATTTATAGCACGGAAACAAATGTCCGAACACTTCAGAGTCAATGCATCGTACCCGCCCCCCAGGCCCGCAGCAGGGCGGAGGCTGCAGGAAGCCAGGGCTCAGGCCCGAGCTTCAGCCCTGCGTACGGCCCCTCAAACCCTCCCCGCGCCCCGGTGCAGGGACACCAGCCCGAGCCCCGCCCCGAGGACTGGCAGCAGACCGGCCGGTGGGATGCGCTCAGGGCCAGAGGCTCACCTCCACCATGTCGCCTCTTCGACAGCAGCCGCCGAACCGCTATTAAAACACTTCCGGACGTGTCGGAAGTGACGCTACCACGACCCGCTCGCGAGAGCCGGCGCCTAGGCTGCGCTGGAAAGGGATGGTGGAGGACAGCGGGGGGCGGGGCTAGGTGCAACAACAGCCAATTGGTGGAAGAAGGGGCGGGGCAATGAGGAGAGGAGGTGGGGTGAATCGGTGGCGTGCGCTGGCCGCCGGCTGGCCCGGTGAGGCGGAGGTTCGAGCCCGGGCTCCCGCAGGGCCAGCCCCGGCCGCCATAGCCCTGGCCTCGGGCCTGGACCCTATGCCCCATCCCCAGTTCCCCCCATCAACGCGGCCCCATATCACTGGTCCCATGCAGGGGGCCAGGCAAGAGGGGTCCCATATAATTATTGAGGTATTAACATATTAATTTTAATAAAATTAAATTTTAAAAAAATTAGATATTATAGAATGTTATATAATGTTTATTAATAGGATATATTAATTATACTATATAATATATGATAAGTTATATTACATTATATAGTATACATAATATATTTTAATAAATCATTGCTACATTAATACATTCCTTTTTATAAATTAACCATTAAATATTTTTAAATGAATTTAAATTATCTGGTGATAATTTTTATCAATCCTATAATAAGAGTATTAATTATTCTATAATAAAATTAGTATTGCTATAATACAATTCTATAACCAAATTCTGTCATTTAATATAATATATTATTCATGCAATATAAATTAATACTTGACATAGTAATATATTATTTGTATACCTTTTTTAAATTGTATAATAAAATTTTGGGCGCCACACTTCAAGCAGGATGTGGATAACCCTGGAGAGGGTCCAGAGAAGGGCCACTCGTATGGTTAAGGGCTTGCAGGCCAAGCCCTATGAGGAGAGACTAGGGCACCTGGACCTCTTCAGCCTCCGCAAGAGAAGGCTGAGAGGCGACCTTGTGGTTGCCTATAAATTCATCATGGGGGCGCAGAAGGGAATTGGTGAGACTCTACCCCCCCCAGGGGTTACAAGAAATAATGGCCATAAGCTAGCAGGGAGCAGATTTAGACTGGACATTAGGAAGAACTTCTTCATAGTTAGAGTGGCCAAAATCTGGAATGGGCTCCCAAGGGAGGTGGTGCTCTCCCTTACCCTGGGGGTCTTCAAGAGGAGGTTAGATAGGCATCTGGCTGGGGTCATCTGAACCCAGCACTCTTTCCTGCCTATGCAGGGGGTCGGACTAGATGATCTATTGAGGTTCCTTCTGACCCTAACATCTATGAATCTATTATTATTAATTATTATGTAATAAAATTATTATTTCCACCATCAAATTCGCCCTGCCTCACATTCAAGCTGGATAGAAAGCAGCCGTAGAGTTGTGGTTACACGTTCTCCAGCGCTCGCTGTGTAGCTGCCTGGCTCTTTTACAGACTTTTTTTATCCTGTGATAATTACTCTGCATGTGTGGTCAGTCTAAACTGCCTGAACGATTAGCCAGTTACATGTGTAATATATGTAAAGTGTGGTGTCAGTTGCGTGACTGCTGGGGAGCCCGGGGAAGCTGCTCAACCACAGCCTCGCGTATTAATCGAGTCTGCTTCGACATGCTGGAATTCCAGTGCATCGGAGCAGGCTCAGCACTCATGTATAGGCTCCCTATAGCGCTGAGACAAGGGAGAAATACGTGAGTATGAAATACTCACATCAAAGGGTAAACTGTTTAGGAAAGAGGCATAAACATAAAGATTTCCTTTAAATCAAAGGTGAACAAACTATCTGGAATTTAGATCACATGTCAGGAGGAAAAACTTCTGAAGAAAGGGTCCATGCTAACTGCATGAGTAACTACTTCAAAAAGGTATTAGGAATAAAGAGAGATCCAATGAGCAATGAAAGAAAGGACTGCTCAGTGAAGAAAGCTATGTCTTAGCAATCAGAAAGTCTATATGAAGTAAGATTTACAAAAGTCAAACTGAGTTGATCCTTGCAAATGGAATTAGGACAAATAGCTTCAGGTTCATCAACAGCATAAAAGGAAAACAAAGAAATAAGTGAAGTCACTGTAAAGTGTGGATGGGCCTGAGATTAAAGATAATCTTGATGTTGCCCCAAATTTAAAGGGATATGTTACCTCAGCTTTCAGTAAGGTAATACTGGGGCAAAGGCAGGATGATCAATGGAAATGAATGTAGATAAATGAAAATTACTACACCCTAGGTGGGAGAAAAAAATCAAAGATATTTGGATAATTTCAGTCTCAGAATACTAAAAGAATCAACACTATATTCTAATGGAATATAGCTTAAAGTGCAACATTAGTTAAACAATGAAAGTTCACGCCAAACTAGCCTGGTATCTTTCTTTGATAAGATAACTAATTTTCTAGCTCAGAGAAATATTGTAGATCTTATCTATCTGGGCTAGAAAAACATTTCATATGGCACCACATTGCAAATTATTACCTGTTGAGTTGGAGAAGAGGAGGATTAGTATATGAACTGTAAAGTAAAGTAAAGGAACAGGCTAAAGGGGATTCTGTTAAAGTAAAGGAACAGGCTAAAGGGGATTCAGGCTAAAGTTGTTATAAACAAGAAACCTTTGGGCTAGAAAGGATTACTAGTGGAGTTCTTCAATGATTGATCTCTGACCTTACTTAATATTTTCATTAATAACCTTCATATCAAGAGCATAAGTATACTTTCCACATTTGCTGGTGACACAAAGTTCAGAGTTATCACCAATATAGAAGATGATCAGAATATGCTGCAGGAAGATGACATTATGGACTGTGGTAATAGAAAGGGGATGAAATTTAGTAGTATAAGATGCAGAATCATACAATAAACTTCAAGTTTGTCAGTTTGAAACAACGGAGGAGAAGAAGGACCTTGCTACGTTGGTCTTTAACAGAATGATTGAGCCACCAATGTGTTTTCTCTATGAAAAATAAAAATAAGATCTGAAGATGTATCAAAACAAGTATTTTCAGTCATGTCAGGAAAATTTTAATGCCATTGTAAATTGCAGTGGTGAAACCTCATCTGGAACGCTGAATGCTAGGTAAAATTCTGGCCAACTAGGTTCAAGAAAGGTAAATTCAAACTGGAACAGGTGTGCAGAAAGGTTATTAAGATGACTGCGATAAAGAGGAGCCTAAGCAATGAGAGGAGACTGGGGCTATACCATGTTCTGAATGAGGCCAGCACATTGCCAGAAAAAGTAGGCCCTGTCTACTTATGACCATTGTGCACATGTATGGTCTGACAAATTTATGTGGTAAATGCCTTTGTGTGGTCCCAAGAACATGTGACACCATGTTCAGCTCTTTCAAATTACGTGGCTTTTTATCTGGGTACTCCAAAGTTCCCTTAAACAGGAGGGCCAATTGATTTGGGCTTTTGAGATATTAGAAAGCACCACAACTCTGTTTCTCTGACTTGAAAAACAGTTAAATAAAAATGATACAGATTCTTTTGGTGTCCAGAAACGTCTTAAAACCATTACAATTACATTTCTTTGTAAGGGTACCTGCTGTCAAGTCTACCTCTCCTATTAGCATATGATATTTTTTAAATATTAAGTGCTCTTGCAAAATGGCTCTGTGACATTATTTATAGTGCATATAGCCAATTTTGTGAGAAGCATGAGGCTTGAGATCTATATAAAAGAGTTTCATAGATTACCTTCAAACTTCCTGAAACTGAACTAATGTCTCCTGTGGCAGGGGTGGGGTAGGAATCAGTAGCGTATACAATTTTGGCAGTGACACATTACTATATTAAAACATCAGCTTCATAGTGAACAGTATAGATAAAGTTGCAACTTGGTAACAGGCTATTATTGTATTGTAACAATAGCCTGGTAATCAATCTTATAAAGTTTAAATATAGCTTCCATTAAAACTCACTTCTCATACACGTACCATTTTTAAATGTCCCCTTTTGTGATTAGATTATCTATTCTATCCATACTAGATGTTGCAAATGTGTATTGAATTAGCTTTGTTCTAACAAAGTTACAGGCATATGTAATTTGCATCCAAATCGTAAGTGGCAGGCCATCTTAAATTGAAAGAAAATCTGAAATCACATTTACGACATTTGATAGGTTTCAAGATAGGTTAAGAGGTTGCTTTAACTAAATATAAGATCAGAGCTGATCCACCTCTCATTTTTCAGTGTTATAGGCAGAATGTCTCTGGATTTTCCCCCACTTTCTTTTACTCCACAATAGCTTACTCAAATTTGCTAAAGCTGGAATTTCTCCCCCCTACACCCACACCCACATACACTTTGAAATTAAATTCTGAAAATTTCACCCAAAAGAGAAATCTTGAATAAAGCTGAAGACAACTGAAAAAAGACTGTTTTGTGGGGGAGAGACAACCAGCAGCACATGTGCCCTAAGTGGCATAGGCAGCCTCTGTCTGTGGCAGACAGCAAATCAGGGAGACGGCAGGAAGCTACAGATAGAGCAGGAAGCAGAGCAGCAAATCAGGCAGAGGAAGAACGACTGGAGGGGGAACTAGGAATGGATGTGGGTCCAATTTGTGCTATGCCTGCCAAAAAAGGTTGGCACTTACTGGTTTAGAATTTATATACTTTGGCAACTTTATCTACAGCTGCTGACATATATTTTTGTTTTAGCCAAACAAAAATGCCTTATTTCTACCATCCAATGCTGCCAATTTCTTGATGGTGAATATATTTAACTATATAACAGCTGTATAGAGCTGGTGAACGTAAGTATATATACTAATTACAATTACACATCTTGAACAGATGAGTGCAGTAGTTAGTTTTCAAAAAGATGCCCAGTATTTAACTCAGCCTTTATAACACTGGTTAGAGCCTGCTGACAAGTGTGTCTGTACTGCCTAAGTAAGAAAATGTCTTTATAGGATTGTTCTGTGAGTTTGGACTTGATGTCTTGTGATTTAATCCAACTTCTTCTTTGTGCTGTGTAATGGAGGAGTATTTTAGAAGAGTCTAAATTTTTAATGGGAGCTCTGCTGTATTAAGATTTAAGTGTGAAATTAGCCAAAGTGAAGTGTAAAAGGAGAAATATTTC